AACGTGGAGGAGAGAGCTCAGATTCCCCTTCTGCACATGGGGAGGCAAACTCATGTTTCTGAGGTCAAGGCTGCACTCACTGAGTTGCAGAATACTGTTTGCTATACTCCCATTCTAGTGCTTAGGCCCCAAAGAGAGATTAATTGGACAAGAGAGCAAATACAAGTGTTTTAGTGGTTAGGAAACTCAGCTGGGAGTAGACAAGTCTTAAACTATTTCTCCAATTGCATATTTTGAGAGGGATACGACAAAAAGCACCTATATGCAGTTTTGCAGACAGAGTTTATTAATGTCTGTGATCATTTCAAATTTCCTAGAAAATGATGTGCAGATTTCCAGCTGATGAATAGACAATTGAAATTATTTAAAGGTTTTCATGTCTTCTCTTAGCCAATTTTTTTCTATAGTGGTAAGTGGGATGGATGCTAACTCTTAAATACCTTCCCTGAGATGAAGTAAGGATCGAAATCAGAAGCAGAGAAGGTTAGACCTATTTTGCATGAAAAAAACTTACTGCCTTCAAATATCCCCAGCCAAGTGATTACAATTTTCAAGATGGCTAGGAGAGGCGAAATCTCAAAATGGTGCTGTAGTAACCAGTAAGACCAGCTAAGGTATGTAGAACTCTTCAGCTGACTCGGCCTCAAGTTTCAAGACCTGCTTCAGAAGTTACTACATTTTTCATTTAACCTGAGCTGTTAGCCATGTGGGTCCTATCATTAGTAGAACCTTGGGATCTATGCTACCAAAACCTTCAGCTGCAAAAACTTCAAGGTGGACAAGTAATAATCGACCTTTAGGCTGCATCAGTTTTCAGAGTGGAGACTTGAGATATCAATTCTGGCAGTTTTCCAGTGAAACCTTAACACTGATGTGAGCCAAATTCATCAGGATAAACTAACATGGTTGTAGGTGTGCTAAATAAAGTGGGAGAAATGTGTGCAGTGACATGATACTTAACTGGTTATGAAAATACAATCTTATTTTACTATCTTTGTTGCGTGAAAAACTTGCAACATTAAGTGGGAGATGCATGAGGAATGGGAAGTGAAGTCCCTTGGAAAGTGAAGTCCATTGCTGGTGTCCAGAGGGTAAGTCAAATTCGTGGCCAAGTCACTCTTGCCATTGAAGTGTCAGTCACAGGATTGCTCCTGGACTTGTCAGAGTTGCCCTTCCAGCAGGCTGCAAAAAGCACAGTCTATCCTTCAAGGGGACAGTCAGAATAAAGCTTTCAGGCAAAAATTGCCTTTCTGTGCTCAGAAGCTGTCTAGGGTTTCTTAGTGGTTTTGTGTTTAGGGTTTTTTTTCCTGTTTGTATTCCTTTTGTTTTGTGTTTTGAGCTGGCTTGCTTGTTTATTTTTTCCTTATTAAATCTTGCTGTTGTGCTATTATTTTGTCTCTGGGATGTGCATGGAATAGGCAATTGACAGCTGCAGTACAGGAAAAAAACTCCTGATGTTTGGATCTTTAATTTCCAGTTGTGGAATGGTCCTGCATTCTAGTTCTGATTATATGATGTGATAGTGGCTTGTATTATAGCATAGAGGAAATAGTCAAGTGGTTTGAGACATTATCCTCATTTCTATGCCAAATTTGCTTTGTTGTTTTTGTTTTAATGGGGATTTTTGGTGCTGCTTTATTTTAATATAAAACATTGTTTCACCACTTGATTTAACAGCTATTCTTTTCCCGTGGTCCTTTCCTGTTAAAACTGATGTGCTACAATGGAAGTCTCTTACCATGCAGGTTTGGAGGAAGCACTTCCTATTTCCCTGGCGTGAGTCATGGGGTTTATCTGAACAGGGAAGATGGGATAACCTCCAACCAACATCCCAGGTCAGCTGTGTGAGCCTGCCCAGGGTCTGCCCTTGCACCCCCCCAGCCAGGAGCCAGCACAGAGCCCCCATTCCCAGCCCCACGCTGCACACAAACCCACAGCAGCTCCCCATCAGAGCAGCCCTGCTGTGGTTTCTGTGAGCACTTGTGACAATTTCCTGTGCTGATCAGATCATCAGTCAGTTTAGAAGCAGAACTTTGTAGATCCCTAAGTAATTTGTTCATGGTGCATCAGGTTTCTGAGCCAGCTCTTCCCCACTTAGCAAGAACTGAAGCTCAGGAAGTCCAGAAGCACTGAGGGAAGCAGAGGACTGCTGTCGAGCTATAAAGTATGGATGGTTCTCATCTAACTTAAACAGCCTCACTGTGGAAAACATTCTTAACTGGACACTAGAACACACATTAAAACACATCTCATGAGCTGTTTTTATCACAGAACAGATAACAGATTACAAAATATGGAGCATAATTTGACACAGTATGCTGTTCATATACTGATATATTTAAAAATTGCTCTAGTGGCAAGATTATATTGAAAATTTTAGCATGTGAACATCTAAAGCTATTTGCAGCTATGCTGTCCCATTGTACTACACTAAAAATGCTCTGATTCTTGTAATATCAGAGGTCTCAACATCTTACAGATAAAATCAAAGCTAAACAAAACTATTCTGAAATAGGACAAAATGTTAAGTTTTATGTTTGCTTATTTTGCTTTTTCACATTTAGAATGTATTTTTTCCCAAAAATTGCCTGAAGAACAGAAAATCTAGATTGTGATTGGAAGATGGAAAAATCAAGGTTTCATCACGAGTATCCTACAATCAGAAGTGAAGCAAGGGGGACAACTTTAAGAATTAAGTCCTACATATCCTTGGACTATAAAAGAAATAGGAAGATAAGGAAAATTCTTACAAGGTCAAAGATTGAGTTTGATTTTAGGAAAGTCCAGTCAAGATGTACTTCAAAAGATAGGACCTACCTGAAACACAATTAAGTAAATAGTAAGCAGAAATTATTAGGGAAGGTTGCACAGAGGATAGAAATGAGTTTGGCTACGACAAGCTGGTGTGGTCACAAAAATTTTTTAAAAAACACAGAAGCATGTGACTTTCAAAGGAATGAATGGGTGCTTAGATTTACCAACAGGTGAAAGAAATAAATACTTGGTAAGTATTTTGTTTCCACACTTTGAGGTATATTTACTCAAAGTATTTTAAAGTAATAAATATTGATAAAGATCAAAAGAGTTTGGGTATTCACACTAGGTAAGAAATGAAAGAGCAGAGAGATTAAAAAAATAAATTAAAAGCACCAGGTGCTTGGAAGAAGAGCTGAGCTGCTAAGAAAATAGAATTCTGTTTAAAATTGTTTGCTACACTGAAGGCCCTGGGAATCATAAATCACTTTATCTATCCATTAAGGAGTCACTAGGGAAATTCAGAGAGCAGTAAACCTTTTTTTTTCTATATCCAACTGACATCTGTAGGCATAAAATCTTTGTAATTCAACATAGAAATTACAAAAATATCTTCAGAAAAGGAGTGTCTTTCTTGCCTCTAATGGGCAAGGATTGTCTGAATATGTAAAGGAAATACAGCAGTTAGTTGATCTCATGTATTCAGAATCATAAGGTCTGTCTTTACAAAATGTAATACAAATTTTGTGGGTGATTTTCTTAGCTCAGAATAAAGCCTTTGCAAGCAATAGCAAAAGGCAAGCTCCGTTTGAGTCCAATGTTTCTGTTAACACAGGAGGCAGTGAAATAAATAGCAGGTTGTTTATAGAAGAACTTCATCTACACCCATGTAAGATACGTGCCTGCTGCAGTTAAAGCACTGACGTCATTTGGTTATATTTGAATTAATTATTTTTATCCTAAAGAAAAATGTAATGTAGCATTAGACATAGCAAAATATGGCAGCTGAAATGCTATAATGGACAGGCTGTCTTGGGCTAAAAGAAAGATATTCTCTGTTAGTCTCAGTGCAGAGCAATTTACATTAGCAGACAGCTTGTTTATATTGAAAATGCTGTGCAAAAAACAGTGCTGACAATTTCAATTGGTTTTATCAGTCTGAACACACATAGCTAAATTTTAAAATGACTATTGAACAGAACATTCTCTGCCATTTCTAGATTATACTCATTTCTTAATATTTTGCAGAATTTGGAAATGAACAGAAATGTGATCTGCATGATTCCATAGTTGCAATGGAAAAATGAATTATAATTAGATATTGCTGTAGTGTAGCAATTGCACTGCCTTACATTCTGATGGGTAAATTCTGGAATATGCTAGATTGTTAAAGACTGGGACTAGATAAAACATGCATTATATTTATATTTATATTTATATTTATATTTATATTTATATTTATATTTATATTTAATTTTTATTTTATTTTTATTTTTTAAATGAATTTTTGTCAGACTTGCTATCAGGATTGGCTCATGCATCTTCATGAACTGAGTTTGTTACATTCAAAGGTAAATAATTTTTTTTATTTCAAATTGTGCTTAAGAGGTCCCTTAGCATGTCCTTTTGCATTCTTTCATCAGATCTAGACTCAACTTGCCTCACTGAATCCCTTTAGGAGAATCATAAGGAATGGCCCATAATAATCTGTATGCTGCAGTGCATTAGCAAAGCTAAATGTTTTCCTTTCTTCCTGTAGCCACCATCTGCCTTAGCGAAGCTTGCTGGATATCCTGCAGCAAGGTCTGATCCCCCTTTAATTCCCCAGAAGACTTTGCTCAGGATTTTGGGGCCACAGACACAAAGGCACCTGCACAGCTCTGGGGGCCAGGATGGCCAAGCTCAGCTGGGAGAGAACTGGCGGAGAGCAGGGACACGAGGACTCGTGGTGCAAGGGCTTGTGAGCTAATGCGTGAGGAAAATGAGACTTTTTCTGGGCTCCCAGGTGTGATGAGGCACTTCTTGGACTTTAGAGATGGTAAATGCACTTCTGTAGAAATAGCCACAGTGCTATTCCATGCCATACATTCATTAGATAGTTTCCCAAGGCTACCATATCATGCAGATTTGTAAATAGCAAGAAACAATGAGTATCAGAGTATCACTGGAGGTAATAATTAATAACTGCAATTTCAGGCTTCAAACTCATGTGAACTGAGAACAAAATGAAAAATCACACACCATTATCAATCTGAAGAACTTTATCCAAAACCACAATTTCCATCTGATATTAACAAAACTTGTCATTTTCACCATAGTAAAGGAATGAACCAGTACTAAGTACACATACAGTGAAAGCAGTCAATAACTGGAAAAGAACATAACAGGAGCATAAAAGAATACATTTCTCTTAACTAAACTTGCTAATTACAGTAAACTTGGAGAAAGCAGAGGGCATTTTAAAAGTTGTTTTTGCCTTTACAGATAGAGCTTCACGATCCAAGAACAATGATTACAACAGTAAAGGTTTTTCTAGAAACCAACCCATGTATTACAAAAACAATACAGAGAATCCCTGCAAACCTGATAGTGTACAAAACAGGGTAGCAGAGAGAAAGCACAAGAGAATTAAATTGTTCAGGATTATTAAGAAAAAGTAACAGTGCATACTAAAGGGCTCCTGTAAAGCTGCTTTACATCAACTGAAGAATAGAATTTCCATTTGACTGTGATTTTGTGTGAAGCACAGATGCTTTCAGAAGTGTCGCTATTTAGCTTTTTTTGGCAGAAAAAAGCCCCAAATAATTAGGCAGTATTTGAGATAACTGAAAAAGAAACATAATAGGCTACCTCACAAAGCTAACTACCAGATTTATTTACATAAGCTTCACATTTCACTGAGACTTTGTACTCCACTCCTTCTAAACTTCCAAACTTCAGAACTGGAAGAGGACTTAGTTAGAGAAAGAACAAATATTTCTCAGGTTGGGTACTCATACTAGGAAAAAATAGTGCAACCATTTGCTACATTATATACCCTTCCAGCATATCTATCAAAATATTCAGACTCGATTTTATTACCTTCTATTTAAAAAAATACAGCATTCTGCTTCCTTTCTTGCTTTTGATTAGGAAATTACAGACATCTTTACATTTAAAATAAAACCCCAGCAACCCACAGCTAGTCCTGCAAACTGATCCGGTGAAGCAGATGTCAGAAGCACACAAGAAGTGTTATTAATGCAGTTGACTCCAGGTGGAGGCAAAGGTCCCTCTGGATGGAGCAATGTGCAGGCTCAGGAACTTCAATCATCCTTATGAAGGCAGCAGCTGAGACAGGTTTTAGGCCTAGACTTGAAACAGTTCAATCTTATTTGTTCATTGGTGGGAGTGAACTCCTCAGGAAATGCGATATCCATAATGCCTGCAGCTCAGGAAGCTCCCAGAACACAAGGCTGCATAGCTCCCTCAGTTCTGGCAGGAGAATGTGCTTTCCTTTGGTACAATGGGATTTCTAAATGCTCAATCTGGCTGTAGCAGTTTGGCTGTGTGTCTGAGACCTGCAGGTGTGATTAGATTTGAAACAGCTTAGTACATTGTGGCTGTTTTTCTTCACTGAATAGGCTGCTCTTTAATGGCCCTGACCCCACAGTAAATCACATGGAGCTTTTCTGTTCCCCTTAGGGCCCACTCCCACTGCCCTCACCTTACCCCAAGAGCATTACCACTGATTCTGATCTGCTAAAAAAATAAAGGTCTTTGGGTTGGGAAAAGCTCAGTAAGTGCTGGCTGCAGAACAGTGCAGTGTGTCTATAAAGTCTGAATTTTTGAAAGGTAACTTTGCATTGTATGGATACTGACAACAGAATTACCAAGCTTCATGGTCACATCTTGTTCTTCTGCTTAGGGGAAACACTTTGTGGATTGCTAAGGAAGACAATGATTAAGATTTTCTCCCGGGAAGAGGTCTTGTGTTACTGTTCTTTGCCCTCACTGTGCAATGTCCTTTCTGCTCACTAACCTTACTCTCAGAGGTCAGCCAAGGAGCTGGCTAGAAAGGGCTGAAGAACACTGCTGGCTTCCAAATGCTCACATGCTCTGGTACCAAGGAATGAAAAGAATACAACAAAGATAAGGGGAGAAATAAAATGAAGGCATAGAGACTATGTGATGGTGACAATGAGTTTAAAGAGATGGACATGAGTTCAAGGATAATATGGGGAGGAATGAGGAATGATAGACCCTAAAGAATTGGGCAGTGACGTTGGAGACATCCTGTGACTCTCTTGCTTGTTTCTTTTCTCAGCATCTTTAAAGTCTGGATAATAGTAAGATCTCCTTTGAGACCTACTGGCAGAAGACTGAAGATTAAAATGAGACAATGCTACTGTACAGATGCATTGACTCATTAACATTCCATGCTTAAGAAAATAGGGCTGGTTTTGCTCTTGCAAGAAGCCTAAGTGGAGCTTTGGGAGGTAAATCCTATATGTATTCTACCAACACAGGAACATTTTAGAGTATTTTCTACAGCTGAAAATAGTAGCCTGGGAAAGATAGAATGGGTGGCACAATGCTCCCAAGAATTGCCAAAGAGGGGGAGATTATTTGTGCTCACACAAAAGCGCACTTGCCTTGCTACCAACAGCTCAAGTCTGCCTATGTCACTCAGGAAAAACTGCCTTCAGAGACATGTGCTTGAGATGATTGTGACATGTTTGTCTTATCAGGGTTTTCTTTTCCAGTTCATGGCTGTGTTGGTGCAATTTCCAAACCAGCAAAAGTAGCTCTGGCCATGTTATTTCAGTGTATATGCCCTGGGACAGGCCAGAATGAGACAAAATTGTAATGCATTTGTCTTCTACAAAGGCAAGTATTTACCTGGAACTACTTATGTAGGTAATTGGACACTTTGTGCCCGAAGAACCACAAACTAAAATGGGATATGGCTGGTCCATAGCTGTGAGGAGTTCCCTACATGTCCAGAGAAGAGCATAGTGGTGACTTCATTTTCCCTGTTTTGGGCTGAAAAGATGAGGTAAAAGGCAAAGATGGGTTGTATGAGGAAACACAAAAAGTTAGTGTCAGATTAAGGGCAGTAGGAGACTTTAAGGCTCAGAATGCCTTGACTGCTTTAGGATGTTCTCAGACAAGGGGTAAAGGGCTAAATGCATGTTAAACCACCCCTATCTTGGCCTTATGGTGACTGACAATGTACCAGGAACAAGACAGCTAACAGAATATTGATCTCTGGCTCTTCTGTGAATAGAACCAATGTGCTTGTTTCCCTGAGGATTAGCAGGCTGTGAGGGGAGGAGGGACGTGCTGTACCTGGTGGTTTAGCTCCCACTCAGCCCTTGCTGTGTGTCCAGGGAGCCAGCAGGGCTCAGAGGACACAGCAGCAGCTAATGAACCACTCAGCTCTGCCTGTCAGAACCCTCATGACTGACATTATCACCAGGGACCTCACTGCCCCTTCCTTCCTGAGCATTAATCACATGAAATCCAATTCTCCAGAGCTCCAAATGTTCCAAAGGCACAGATGTATTTTGATCTGGGATTCTGATCTTTAGTCCATTTACCTCAAATGGAAATCACCCTTAGAAAGAGCAAATTTCCAGATTCTACTCTGTGATTAGCTACAGGAAACTCAGTCAAATTACCTTGGATAAATGGACAGTGCTACATGAAATTAATAACGCTCAACAGCCTGCAGAGAAATGTGAAAAGGATATTAACAACTGGAATTGCTTGAGTATAGCAAAATAAAAGCTTTTAATAATAGACAAAATACATAACAACCCACAGACTAGAGGCTCCTGTTTTCATTTGGTCCCAGACACAAAGGTGTATTTTTTTTTTAATTTTCAAATGGGTGTACATGGCAAAACAATAATGGCTGGATGCTTCTATTCACTCTTGATTTGGGGCTGATTATTACAGTCTGCTCAGCAGCTGGGTGGGATGCTGACTGCTCTCAAGTCCTATTGCAAATGAGGATTTTGGAGCAGGGATCTCATTACTTCTGAGATATCTATAATCTTATCTGCCCACTGAAAAGGCTAAATACATTATTTGTAGCAGATGAGTCTCCCTGCTACTATTGTTGCATCCATTTCAAAATCAGTTTTTCAGCTTTGCAAGTGTGTTGACACAGAAATACAGGTTGTTAATGCTGTGGGCAAACACAGACTCCTACTTGCAGATAAAAATATGACAGGAATAGCTCTAGTGGGTTTTCCCACTCAGTTCTTCTTTCTAATGTGACATTGCACCCACCTGAATAATTGTTCAGCCTTTAGTCTCTTTGCTGTGGTGGCTGCACAGCTGCTGTGTTGAGCAGTTGGCTGCTTTGATAAAAAAAAAAATCTTTAGAGGGAGTTTGATGATTTGGTATGTTGCCATAGATCCCTCGAGGCCATGGCTAAAAAGGAATTATTAGGGCACCCTAGTTGGTCTCTCTTGGCTCATTGATAACTTTGCAGGGCAAAGTTGCTTCTTGTGTTTGTATAATGAGGTTGCACAACAGAGTTGGAGGTAAAACACCTCTATAGGTAGAGCATATAGAAAGTGGTTTGCTTCATCTCCCACAGAATGAACTGCAGTCAGGATTTTCTAACTGCTATCTGTGCTAGACATTTTTAATTGAAGCACAGATCAAGTGGAATCCTTTTCTCAGACTCATACACAAAGTGCTCAGCAAAGAACAGAACCCTGTTCTTTTAAAGAAAGACTTCAGAAAACAGCTCTGGGGAACATGTTTGGGCTTGGCTTCCTCATCACTCCTCAGTGAGTGACATCAATTATCCAGCTGCCTGGCTCCAAGGAACAGAGAAACTACAGTGCTCCAAGTGAAGCTGTGCCAAGTTCAAGAGGCAACATATTTCACAGGACCATACCTGTGAAACATCCCCCACTCAGCCACTGCCCCATTCCCCTCTGCACCTTCTCTGAACTTAATGATGAATTAGTCCCTTTTTTCAATGGTTCACTTTAAACCTTCACTAACCTCCCAGAAGAGAGAAGAGGTTGTAGTGGAGGAAGCCAGAACACAACATCCAGAAATACAGTGTGCATATTGTCACTATCTAAGTAGAGCAGAGCTTGAACCAGCTCTGGCCACTGCAATTTAGGGATCTTCAATACACCTGACAATATTCCACACCGACACTCATGTGCAGTATCCTTGTATCTGCATCCTAGAACTGACTTCTTCTCCCAACAGAGAAGCTGTACAGTTATTGTGCAGTTTAACTGTGAGGCAGGAAATGCCTGCACTTGCTGCTTGCACCCAGCTTGCCATGTCACCCTGTCAAGCCAATTACTTAAATTAAAGTTTTGTCTGGCCCTTCTTGACAACACAGCCTCTAACAATGAAAATATGTATGATGATGATCTGGATGCAGGAGGTGGAACTCATTGTTTTCCAACGCTCCTACTATTACTATCAGTTTCACATGAAAGTAGGGCATTTTCTTTGGGAAAAGCAACACAAAAGTGTCACTTGGTTTCACTAGAAGAATAGTGGGTTTTTTTGCTGTTCCCACTCTAATGCTTTTCTTCGTGGTTGAAGAGTTTAGTCCAGTGCTCTGGGAGAGAGATGCAAACATTGCTAATTGCACTAAGATTAATATTCTAGGAAATTTAAGCAAAGCACTCCACTGGCAAATTCATTAGGCAGCAGAATAATCCCACTGGGCAAGTACCATCGTGTCAAACTGCTTTTAGTCATGGTGATCTGACCTAACTAGACAGCCTGCAGGAACAATGGAGACAAGTCCATGAGAAACTGATACAATTACAAAGGCAACAGAATATCAGAAAATGGTTGGGGACAGTACATTACATTAAGCAACATTTTCACAGATCCTACGTGTTTACAAACCAGACCTTGTCCTGTTCAATTCTTCATTGGAAACTTCTCTGCAGCTTTCCAACAGCTTCCTTTCTGCTCAGCAAGAATAAGGAGGGATGCAAAAACAAACAAGGTAGATCATTTATGCAGCTCCTCTGCTTTTTGTTGTACTGTGGCTATGAAAGAATTAATAGCTATTTTAGGAAATGAAAATCACAATTTTTCTATCATCCTTAAGACTACAGTTATTTTACTGGACAGTATTTGCTTTCTTTCCCTCTGATCTTCCAGAACTGGACTTCTCAGACTTTTTCCCAGTATAGGTCTTGTCTGTCCTCAACCATCTTCACAAAATCCTGCCTCCAAAAAGGGAAATAATAACACACACAGAAGCTCATAATTGTTTTTCTCAGCCTCAAAATAACCTAATTTGTTTTCTCCCCACTGCTAGCTTTGTTTGCATCTTTCCTAGCTTTAAAGGACAGTTCATAGAGAGGGAAAAATTATACACAGTGACTGCTGAGTGGTTATAAATTCTGATTTGGGGCATGCTGCTTTGATTCAAGTAACTGTCCACCAGCCCTGCAGGAAAATGGCTTTAAAGAGAAAAGTGGAAATCCAAACCTCTCTATACATTCAGCAGCTCATAGCCCAGCCTCAAGCTCAGTAGCAGGCAAGTGTCAAAAACAGTCTCTGTTCCTGCAGACAAGGCTTTCTGGAACTGGGTATTAGCTATATGAGACAGAAAACCTAGACAGTACATGCAGACATAGAAGAAGAATTTGTCTGCTGCTCTCAAAGTGCATACACTTTATGTACTGTTGTTTAATTTTTATGGGGGTGAAAGAAGATTTCCAACAGTGGTGATTTTTTTTTTCTTCTCTCAAGACTTTACAATCTCTCAAACAAGGAAAGCTACAGCTTGTCTTGAAAAGATACAGCTCTTGAAAATGAACTGGCCGTGGAAAAAATGCAGTAAAAATGTTGCCTTGCAGTGGAACAAATCCAAAGGATAATCAGAGTAATTTCCTAAAGCCAGCTATTAAAAAAAAATCTCTTCCAAGACCTTCACCAGAACCCAGAGATATATTAATACTGAGATACAAGCTTGCACATCTGACACTTAGTACTTTTCTTGTGTTGTTTCTACCCCAGGACATACCTGACTCTTGAATTCACCCCTGCATAAGTACAGAAGTGACCAACCTTTCTTGCAATTTTATCTTTCTCATAGGCATATTCACTATTACTTAGGCTATACAATTTTTCCATCATTCAGTACATTAATAACCTTATGAAAGCACACAGTTGCTGTAAGAAATCTGGATTGCAATCCAATGAGATGAGAAGTGTGGTATTAGGCTTTTGTTTCGTGGAAGGAATGCATATACAAACCACTGCAATCCAGTACCTCTAGACAGAAATGGGAACTTGTGCTGCTACTCTGTTTATCATTTTCTCCTCTAAAATTCAGAGGGTCTGCAGAGCAGCAATAGCTGTACCTCCTCCTGAGCAGCAGGCAGGTTCAGCATAAATTTATTGATTACCAGGTCCAGTTACTGAAACTGGAAGGCAAGTAATAGACAGCCTGCATCTGCCTGTCATGGCTGTGAGACTGATGATTTTGAATACAGCCCAGGAGCCTACAGCCATGCTGAAGACCCACCCACACATGATGAACTTGGACTTCATCAGAACCGAGCCAATGCCAACCACATGGTCCATCAAGGAAATTAAGATGTTCACAAAACATGACCTGGAACAATTCCATATAACGTTATACCACAGTAAAAAATGAAAAAAAAAAAAAAAAAAAAAAAAAAAAAAAAAGCTGACAAACTGCAGAAGAACTGCTAGAAAAATCCATAGTAAAAAATAAGCACTTTCTATATAAATATCTCTCTGTATTTACTATACCCAAGTTGATCTCTCTTTTATTACATTTCTATACAAAACTGGTATTGGCTCAGTTCTCAAATATAGCTCTCACCTCCACGCAATTTGCATCCAAACTTTCTGCCATCAAGACTTAAGATGATTAACTTGCATTTCATTTCCATGACTGTGGCAGCTCTTAATCATCAACAAAGTCTCTAGTTATATGTATTTATATAGATATACATGTATATATACACACATACATACATACATACATACACATGACAAATACTGTTGAAGACTTCTTTTCTTCCAGTGTTTGTAGTGACAGTCATCCTAGAAGGTGAAGGCATACACCACTCCCACAACCACAATATTTCCAATTGTTGCTATTATTGCAATCCATAACAATATGGCATCATTTGAAGAACGGGATGTGTCTTCTGGCGGATTCTGCATGGAAGAAGCTGCATGGACGTTGGCTGATGAGTTAAACAGGGAGTACTCTGTACTAAAGTCCTCGTTGGGTGAGTCCATAAAGGCTCCTCCCATAACAGGAAGCTGTGAAGGAAAACATGGCAGAATCAGACTGAAAGCTAGTATCTGCTTTTGCATTGTCTCCAAGACACTATTAAAGAATAACCACTAGCTAACTTGCAAAACTACTGAGATATCATGTACATGGTGCTAACCTGTCAGGAATATCACAAACTATAATATTTCTCCCATTTCTGTTGGAATCAATATTATTGATGAAAACCTGCATATAATACATGCAATATACAGAAGAGCTAGCATGCAGGCTTCAAGTCAGCCTAAGTAATCATATGCATTTAGCAGAGATACCCATATACACAAAGCACTCACATACCAGAATTTGAGTTGATAGCAACAGGATTGTTTTGTGACTACCAGCAAAGGTATGGTGTCACTGCAAGACATTGCACAAGCACAGCAAGGATCTGATGCAGAGAATTTGTTCTCTTATGTATCACTCAGAAGCAAACTCCTGGTTTATGTAGAGATCATGTAAAAAGTTCTTACTGTAAAAGATGTGGAGTGTACTCAGTGCACTAACTTCACTTGTAAAACACACCAGTGCAACAATCCAGGATTTATAAATCGATACAAGGGAAAACTTCAAAATGGATTTTGAAAGGCTCCATCACAATGCAGCAGATGGCAGATTTCTAAAAGCTTCCCACACCAGACTTCTCCTACTGGGAAGGACAAAGTTTCTTTGGTGTTCTTAGTGGATTTCCCAGCAGCACCAGAAAATGTTCTGGATAAGGTAACAGTTACTCGATACACTATGCAGAAGATAAAGGAAGAAGAAACTGTTTAACCATGTCCTTTGACATGTTCCAGTTGTCTTCCCAACTTCATTCTACATCACAAAACCTATTCTTCAGGGTTCAAGAACTATTTTACTTCTACATAGTGGTATAAAATATCCTTCTGCAAATGAATGGATTCCTCATTCAGACAAGAGAAGGATATCTACTGCAGTACAAAGACCACGTACAACTAAAAAAGGTTCACACAAAAGCTCTTTGCTTCCATCCTTGTCCCTTGTATGTTTCAGAATGCAGAGCTGTAACAGTCTCCCCTGACTCACTCAGTGCAGGCTCCTAGTCTCAAGTAGAGGACAATGTTTCAGAAAAAGCTGCAGAACATCTCTTTCACATATCTATAAATGCTCAGGACACAGTTTCTGAATCTCCTGTAAAAAACCACGAGCAGTGGGGGTATGGTAAAGCGCAAGTCTCTGCAGTACTCTCTAACCAAACTCTATGAGGACTCTACTGCATAGGTAGACCAAACCCACAGATTTATGGGATAAAAAACCCCAGAGTCATATGTCTAAATTTCTCTGCCAAAATTCCATCGATAACTGATTTGATCTTAAGCAATGAGAGCAAACCTAGACATCAGTGCATCCTACCTACATTCCCCTTTCAGATCTGGTAGGAGTCCAGAGCTTCAGGAAAAGCTGAAAAAGTCTGTGAATATTGTCCTTAAGAAACACCCTCACTGCAACACCAGCCAACCTTTCCTCCCTCACAGTGGTTTCCACACTGCTGCTGTCGTCCTCCAACCTTTAGACACAATCTCCTATTTTACACCCTATTCTTAAATGCCTTTGGGGTTTTGGTATTATTTTTCACCTTTCTCAACAGGGCTCTCTTCTACTTTAACTTCAGCTCTACTGCTGAATGTACCACACCCTGTGAATAACAGAGGAACAAGCCTTGCCTTCATTCAGCCATACCACAGAACGCTGCTATACCTTCAGCCCTAAACTGCCCTGTCAGATACTCACTGGGCTGAAAAGTCATCTGTTTTAGCACCCTGCATCACATTTTGATTGTCTCAGTAACCTCTCCCTTTGGAACCAAACTACACCCATTCTGGCTGTGTGCAGCTGTGCTATGGAGGTGCTGAAATGGACAGCCTGTGAGGATAAACCATCTCTCCTCTCTACACTGGCTGTAATCTATAGATAACACCAAAGACTTTGAGAAGTCTGAGAATGAAGTAATTTTTTTTGCTTGCCATGCATAACGTTTTAGAGAGACATAAAAGACAGGCTCCCTTTTAAAGCTGACTGCTGAACAAATTTCATCTGTACTAGAAAATATCATGTCACATTCAAAATTAAACAGAGAATGATGAAAGACCACAGTGGATATGTCAGGCTACCTAATCCACATTAAATGAAATTATCTTTGATATCAGATATGATTAGACAAATGCAGTTTACAAGAAACCAAGCAGGAAATTGCAAAAGCAAAGTCTGTTACGTTCTCCCTGCATCAAAGATTTTTGCTGGCAATTTCAACACAGTGTGGTTTAAAAGAGAGCAAAAGCTTCCATTTCAAAAGCCCAGCTTGATCTTTTGAATCCAATTCCACTGGGCTTTTTTATGTCTTGGGATTTGATAAGGAAAGCATTTCTCAGTTTTATCAAAATTTCTTTTTATGCAGAGATTGCCATAAAAGGCAGCTCTGACTTCAAACAGAAGTGTGTTTATGCAGCAATGATGCCATGAAACAGCTACAGAGACTCTAATTAAAGATCTCTGCTCCAAGTGACAAGAATACATTTGCCATACTGGCAGCAAAATGCTCAAGCAGAGGTTCTTGCCTCCTTAGCAAATCATTCTAAGGCTATCAGCATTTAGGACAGTCAGTTCTGCAAAATCTTTCAACTGAATCATCCCAAGTATAGAGGTACACACGCATATGCATGTGCCCAATATGGTGGGAGGTCATAAGCACTGTTCTGGTGCTATCTGATTGATACCTGGGTTTTGGGCCACACATTCTGTGCTCTCAATGAGTTATTTGAAATGACAAGCTTCCACACTGTTAGTTCCCCTGCTGCTGTCACAAAGGCAGGAAGCATCCGTGTAGCAGCACAACTACCCAGCATGCTGTAAATTATGTCAAATCTGAATCTCCTTGTACTGTCTAAGGCTCAAACAAGCTGTCTGCACCATCTGAGGGGAGCACATGGTGAAACAGCTCATCTGAATCTCTGAAAGACTTGAGGTGACCTGGTGGTAAAGCACTGACATTCAGCACCTGGCACAGGCTCTTTCTGTAAGACTGACTTCCAGTTTTTCTGTTTGTAGGTCAGTAGCACTTCACCACAGATATGGAAATAAACCTTCCTGCCAATTTCCCATTTGCAAAAATCATCTCTTGCTAAATGTGCATTCCCCCTTCTCACTGCTCCGGCAGCCTCACATGAGGAATGACCATATGGTGTCCGAGAGAAAGGCCATCTCCCTTAGGTGTTAGCTCCAACAGTGGCCATAAATAGATGCTTAGGAGAGTAACAGCACAACAGGAGAAACATATCTGATGCTATCCCTTAATAACTCACAGCCTTTGACTGTTTTCAGCTTAGAAAGTTCATAAGCCAGACACTATTGCTACGGATTTAATAACTTGCAAAGAATTTTGCTACCATGAACTTGTCTAGACTCTATCTGATCTCATGTGAAGCTGAGCATCCTTCTCAATCTGGCCTCTTGGTGCCACTTAACAGTCAGGGTTGCTCAGTGATTAGAGTAATGTAAATCATCCTTGGGAGATATGTCATCTCTCCATGGGAGAGAGGGATGATTAGTATCAATGGCAATCTGTCTTTTTGGTAGATTAAATTCAGTGAAATGAATCTCATCCCCAGTCTCGATGTCTTCATTCTCCCATAAGGTACAGTATCTTCCCTCTGTAGTCTTATTTGAGATTTTACTTATTTGAGACCTCCAGACCTGACATGAATGGGAGTTGTGAAGTGCTTGTGATTAACAGTAGACTAAGGACAGAAACCTGCAATGCTCTCTGTGACTGCTCTATTTTTCTGCCTGTGCCTCTGCAAAGCAACTATGCCAGTTTACATCATCCAAAATCTTCACCCATGTCACAGCCATTACAGTGACCTGCAGTCTGTTTAGCCCACGAGGGTATTCAGGCAAGGCTGCCACCCTCCCCAAGAGCACTGGATGAGGAGGCCAGGGCAAAGGGTTAACTGGGAAACAGACAGTGAGGGACAGGACAGGAGCAGATGGCGAGGGGTAACGCTGTTTGGAAATGAAACATTGTTTGGAAATTAAACTCCTTTCCTAGAGATTGTGTTGACATTGTTAAGTAGCACCAATAGTACATCGCTTGCTAAATGGCTTCTGGGACTGGCAAAGAAAGAAATTAAATCATTAAATAGCAACAGGCAGAAAACCAAACAGCAAAATGTCAAGTGGTAATGAGAACACCCACTGTGCCGAATACCTCCCACTGGCATGCTCTGGGGTCACGAGGAGAGCAGACCCTTGAACAGTTCTGTGATGCACTTTCTAGTTAGCAGAAAAATCCTATTTTATAACCAAAGTGATCCACAGGAATGAAAACCAGCATGTCAGGTACCAGTCACTGATACTGTAAGTATGACAGCATTCTTAAGCAGCATCATATAAAATCCACCCCCTTAGCAATAACATTGCTCCATTTCTTTGAGAATCAGGTGTCTGACATTTTTTCATAGTCAGCTAGACAATTGTGACATTTGGGTGCTGCTACCTTGTTGGGAACCCAAGTTTGGCATAGATATTTGAAAGCATAGCTGAATCTTCTAATGAGAAACTAAGAAACCTCAGCAGCAGCTTTCACAGCTCTGCTGTATCCTTGCTCTGGTCTACCCAAGCATCACTCCAGGAGTGGGATGATAACAGATGAAATATTACCACAGCTCAGATGTTTCGTCAAATCCATGCTGCTACTTCAGAATATCTAACTTTCCAGTGTTTCTTTTTTGTTAAATTTTAGATATAATGTTTTTACAAGATGGTATGATTTGAATACATAAAGTGAAACTATTATTTCCTTCTGCCCTGGTAGCATATGATCACTGCAGTGCATATTTGTGTCTGAAAACATTCCACCTGCAGTCATAAATTAATCTAACACAGTTGCCGAAGGCAGTAGCAATGTATGGGTTTGCAAATTCACCACAACAACATCTTAATTCTTAAGCTCTTTTTAAATGAATGTTTTTTT